AAGTGCTTCATAGGGGGGATGTGATTTAAAACAATGAGCCCAAGTAAACAATTACTTTATTTTCTTGTACTTTTCACTAAAATTGTAAGAATAAAAGCCTGTAATGAAGCTGCTTACAAAGTTCAAAGAAAAGATAATTGATTTGCATGAGTTCCAAATACCATCATCTAGATGAACACAAAGGACAATATTTAGTTATAGATTAGTAATCCATGGTACAAAGAGTTCTGAGCAAATTTGGGGAAAACATAAAGCTAAAATATTAAGCAAATCCGAAGCTGAAGGTCAGCCTGCAGTTAGTAACCATGCTCAGTTATAAATGACGTAACATTTAAGCTATTGAACTTGGCACCACAAACAGCCATGTCTATTGTACATAGTGAAGTAGTATGCAATCAGTAGGGGTTGATTTTTACATTTCTGTTTATAAAGTCCATGGACTCTGGTCTACTCTCAGTCAAACGTAGCCTCAGCATCCAACCTGAATAAACCTCACAGCCATAATCCAGCTGCAAATAAGACAGGACAAAAATAGTAGGTGTGGGTGCTGCTGCTTGCACATTATGAGCCAGAAACCAAAAGGTAAGGCATAGAAACAGATTATCTTCTGAGAAGCAGCTGGGTGCAGCTGTCACTGGGGCTTTAGAGGTAATGCATTTTTGCAGTGAAGTCTCTTTTCAGAACTTTAAACCCCACTTGCTCCTGTAGACAGCATTGCCAAAAGTGATGAGAGGAGAGCAGACTGCACAGTCTTCTGTATGGACTGTATTAGCCCACGCTGAAGTATATGCAGCTCCACCTACAGTACCAGAAATGACCAAACTTGTTGTCCAAGTTAGCCTGGGCATGTCTATACAATTTGAAATGTAGCTCAATCCATTAACAGCTTCACAGGCTATAACTCTGTAGACAGCGCAGGCCCTGTTCTTACATAGTCATAGAGGTGAACACTGTGAATAACATTGATTGCCCTATGTCCGAAGGAAGATTTCTGTGCCACTACCAACTTCCCCAGGGCAGCTTGCCGGCTACGATAGTGACACTTTTGAATGGAGTTACCCTGAGCTTACCCTACCATAATCCACTCCTCAAGCTATGTTTATCACAGATGTCTATTTATAGTTGGTAACTGTCATCTTCTGACGGTGGTGCCCAGGTGATTTAAGTATTTACCTCCAGTAAACTGAGAGAAAAGGTGGACTTTTTGGTTTATGCTTTTGAGTGCTCCACAGAATATGATTTTTTCCTGATGTCACCCAGGCCTATTTTCCTGCTTAAGTAAATATTTTTCAACTACCAGATTCTGTAATTGCAAGTAATTATCAATACGTAAAAAGAGTATAACAACAACAACAAAGTAGTACTGTGACATGTTGGTGTGAAACTTTGGTATTAGTATAAGTTAGTGGTTTTGCTTTAACAGTTATGAGCTTAATATACACAAAATTCTATCATTTTTTCTAGCCTACATTTTGTCCCTACCTGAATGCTAACAGTATAATCACATAACATCACAACGTATCAAACCTTGGTAAAATAATTCCAAGCAAAACAGATGAGAAGCCATGGGAAATTATAGCATAAGACCTTGACAAGTCAAAATAGAAAACAGTTAAGTGTACCAGGTGCTATTCTAGGATCTGTGTGTGAAAGTAACTGCGTAGGGTGTGCAAGGACATTCCTGATGTTCTTAGAAAACACATACAGAAATTTAACCGGTTGTTTTATGGGAACAAGTTATCTACTCTTCAAAGTTATATCAAAACCAGTCAGAATATGTGAACTATGAAAACAAAATACAATACTTGGCATTGGGAATTTTTTTATACAGGTGTCAGTTGCATTTATGAACATTGTTCAATTTCCATGCATGTTTTGTTATTTTCAAATAGCAAATTGACATTTTCAAATTCATAATGAGGTATGAAACAAATGAGAGTACTGAAGGTTAGTCATTCATTAATCATAAGCAAAACAGGGCTGAAATCAAGGACACAGAAGCACAAACTGTAAAAGTAATGGGTTGCATAATCGTATTTAATATTAACTACATTATGTTTTTCATGTGAGTTCTGAGAAGTTGATTTTTTTATGTTTACATGAAACTGATCCAAGGTAAATTTTATTTCTCAATATTATTTTATTGTAGTAGTTGCCCTCTTTTTAATAAAGTAGAAGACACGAATTCTAGCTTGTCACGTTATTATGAAGATTTAATAGAGGGGGTTAGCAGGAATCTTTAAGCCTACTGAAACTTTTGATTTAAGATGCTTCACTTTTGACTAGAATGCACTGAATTGTATAGCTACATCCGCTTCTTGTTTGTCATGGCAGCTCTCCCATTAAGGACATAAATTCACCTGGAATTGGTTGTTTTGGATAAAATAAATTGTTATTCACATTTCACTGTCAGAGAAAGACAGACCAAGAACTATTATTTGAAACACTCTAAGCCTTTATCCCTCAGGAGTTTAACCCACATTAATTACACAATGTGTAACAATGTTATTCACAATTTACAGGTGATATGATTATTTAAATGGTTGGGAAGGTTCAGATGGATATAATAATAATTTTTCTCCCATGTCAGATTTCAGCTTAAAAACACAAGAACAAACTCAGTTGGAGGAAGGTAAGGTGGAGAGGTGACACAGCCAGGAGTCAACTCATTTCAAAATCACTACACAGATGCATCTCTCTCGTACTGATGCTACTCTTGTTATTTCAGAATTTGCTGGACTGAGAAAAAGAGAGAAGTGCAGAATGAGAACTATGTACATAACTTATAGGAAGGTACTGTTGTGTTTTGTGGCCCCCAGTATGATAATCATTAACACCCTTGTCATCTTTGTGTGTCTGTAACTCTATCTGCATAGACCAGCAGTGATGAGAGTGACCAGCTTTCCTGTCAGACATGTGCTTCAACCCTAGCATGTGACAGCTGTAGGTCACACACCACAGCCCTGAGGGGCACAGGGAGACTCTGGGCAGCTCTCTGCAGGGGCCTCGTATTCCCGTACAGCATGGGTCTGTGTCAGGGACAATAGATAATGGCCTGTTGTGAAACACACAAAGATAGAAAAGTACTGTTTGTCTGCTTTGGCTCCTCCCCTGAAGGTCCCGCTTTGGTTCCTCCCCAGAAAGTTCAGCTTTAGAACTGCCCAGAAAAGTCCCGACCTTTGGAGACCTTTCTAGATATTGCTGGTCACTTCTTCTGACATAGGCTGGCCCCTGAGTCAGAATGAGTGTGCATTTTTGTTAGTATAAAAGCCTGAGCCTCATGTGATGGGGGGTCAGAACCTCATGCCACCCAGGTCAACGTTGCCTCTATGGGGACACCTGATAAGGTGCCACCTCGCACTCCAAAGATGTTTCTCGGAGCTGATTTCCTGATTGTCATTACATGGTCCTTGGGGTTGGTAAGATAACCAAACATCAGAAATATCCTTTACTGTATCTTTTGTTACCTCTATATATTCCCTGTATCAATAAACTAGTTATGATTCTCTATTGTGTTGCATTTCTCTCAACTCGGAACCCTCAAACTCCAGAACAGGGTCAGATGTGGGCCTGTGAAACCCAGCTATGCTGGTCTTGATGGTCCATACTAGTTCACCTTTCCTGAAAACAAAAATTGGCATTACTCATCAGATTCTGACTGGCCTCAGTCTTCTTAGTATTCACAGGGGCTGTTTCCATGCAGTACTCCATCTCCAGACACGTGGATGTGGAGTGCACTGAAACTGGTTTTCAGGTGCACTGATGTGCCCTGGGATCTTGTCCTTTTGTCAGCTTGGGGGTAGCCTATGTTTGCACCAGAGTCTGCAAAGAAGTGTTCCTGGGTCCTCCGGTTACTTGAACTCATGTTGTAGTCCTGATGCAGGAGTTGCACTGGAACTGGTTATTAGTCCCATGTGGTTGTCCTTAGTGTAAGCCAAAGTTTCTATGGCTTACATCGTTTAGTATGGTACAGACCACTCCATGAAATGCATGTTAGAAAGGCTATAACATCCATGTGTCAGAGAAGCTGTGCTGCACGCTTTGTGACTAGGGATCTGCCTCAGAGCAGTATTTGCTCATATTCTTTGTTAGCTATAATTAATGCATGTTGCTTTGGTGCATAGCAATATCTGAATAAATATTTGCCTCCATTTAGACTAAAAACCAGGCATTAATAGGCCATTGTTTAGTATTTAGATGGAAATTATGATTTCTTAATATTTCCATTAACAATCTTTGAAACTTGAAGCAAAGTCTCTGCAATTTTGTATTCAGAAGCAAAACCATGTATCCATTGACGAAAGGTACATAATATTCCTCCTTCATATATTTTCCATAACCCTTGATAAAGAAAGTATCTTAATTTTTAAAACTCCCTTTTAACCAATTTCCTACCTCCTCTACTCCAACCTTTCTAGATGGTATAAATTACATTGGTGTTAGATTCAAACAGTGCCTAAGATGTTTCTTTCTCTCATATATATATATATTCTGCAAGGTGTTAAAAATAATAATTGCTAGTGATATTTTTCTTATAAAGAAAACCAAAGGACTTGATGTTCAGTGACTAGATCTAAATGAGATTTTAGGATTGGATGGTTTTTGGTTTTAGACAAAAAAAAAAAAAAAAAAAGAACAAATTTTGTTTTGAATGGGTTACTGAGAATAATGAGGAGTTTGTCCAGGTCTGTTAAAAATCAGACATTCCATTCAGGCCTGTGTAAGTGGGGAGATCCCCATAACATATTTACTTTAATTTTAGATGCAGATGGTTTAAATGGGGTGCTCTGGTTTAGATTCCAGAGCAAATAGGTTACCTATGATACTATCATTCTCAGGGATAGATTGCCAAGTACTGCCTTTCTCAGGCAATATGGTTAAAGGTTTCACCCTGTCTGCAGTGGTCCACTGCTTGACTGCTTTTCCCAAGCTCCAGATCAATCTTTAACTCCTCACTTTTAAATTAGGGTGAAATATCATGGAGAAAAAAGGGAACATAATTTAAATACAAAATTCCACCTTTATTATAAATACAAAATCCAAGCAAATAGGATTTTTCACTCTTCTCTCTCCTAAACAAGATACAATATTAAGCCCATGAAGTCTTCTCAGTGCTGGACCAATTATTTCTAAATTTTTTTGAACCAATCTCTAACCTTCTAGTAGAATAGATTTTTTTTCCAAATAATCTTCTAATGTTGTTGCAGAATCTTCAGTTCAGTACCTGAAACATTTTGCTGTGGGCCTGAGAAGTCTGTCACAGAGGAAAAGCTGGAAAAAATCAGTACTGTATCAGAATATTTTGAGTTATATATGTACCCCTGCCCTGCATGTTTCAGTGTCTTGCACAAATAAAGCTCTCAGTCTGAGCTGGGCTTCCTCTGTACCTCCCGGAATCCAACTTTGCTTCAGTTGTTCAGGTTTCAGAGACTGTTCGATCAGGGGAGATGGATGATAACTTTATATCCAAAAGTTGAAAGATGAAAAGGAGTTTGGCTTCTGGGGGCACTTGGGCTTGTTTATGTCTTCAGCATATTTGGAACTGCTGTTAAAATAACTGCAAATGTATTCATGAAACAAGAATTTTAAGCGAATGCCCTCTCCTAGGTTAATGATTAATATTGTGAAAACTCAGCTTGGTATTTATTATATCATGACACAAGTAAATTGAGCTGCAAGCAGGTCATTATCTATTTTATTATTATTTTTCTTTTAGTATGCAATGCCAAATGATTAACTTTTTTGCTAGAAGAAGAGTGAAAACATGAGGCAGGCAGTTCCTATTGAGAGTCTTTGTTCAGACCCCTTTGTCCACACTCTGTGTAGTATATAAAGGTCATAGTCCTTATGAAGAATGCTTTCTTTTTCAAGTGCAAAGTCTAAACCATTAAATGAATAAAAATAAAAAAATTATGTTTTCATCATTCTTTTATAAAAAGAAAAAATCTTGCAGTCTACATCTTTTCCTCGCTTGTCATAGTAAACCACCTTTTCTGTTATCTACGTGTATACAGTGCTGTTCTGTTCCTGTGGGAATGAATTCTTAAACTATTTTAAGCAGAAAAGGACTGGAAGATCTCCATATCTGAGTTGCTCAGAAACTTCAAGATCAGTTTTGCCTTATACTGAGGCTTATCAAATAGTTTCATGTTCATTTGTTTGAGTTTTATGCATGTTCAATTTTTAATTTTATTCTGCTCCATCTCTTTGTCATGTATTGAACAAATATTTTTTTAGAAATTGGAAGTGAGTTTCATTATATGGTAATAATTTAAGTCATACCATCATAAATGGTAACTATTGAATACTTCTCCTTGGAAAACAGATGGAGTTATAAAACTGTAGGTAGGTAAAGTAGAACTCAGAAGAGACATATATTAAGTAAAATTTGTTTTAAAATTGAGAAATTTGTTTTCAGGGTTTCCAATTTAAATTACTTTCAAATGTCTTAAAAAGTAGCCTAACTGTTCATCTGAGTTTTAGGACACAAAGAAAAAAAATGCTGATCCTTGGTATTTAAAAAAGTCAAAAAGGCAAGTAGAAAATATGCTGTAAAAACATGTCTTAGTCGGGAGAAAAGACCACGTGAAAATTTGGCCATTGTTGAATGTCTTTCAAATCCTATTTCATATCAACAAACATAGCTCATTCAAAATTGGTTTTCAATGGACCAATTAAAGGCACTTTATTCATCTATTTCCCTGCCAGCTTTCAGTTTGAACACAAACATGTTAGCATTGTAGCTATTCCAAATAATCAAAATTTTCAACCTTCTTAATTCTGTGGGAAGGGTGTCCTACTTCACTAGAAAAACAGTTCTTTTTCTTGAAATGCAAATATTGCTTTTCAGAAAAGATACTACCTGGAAAATTCTGCCTGAAATGTGAATGCTTCAGAAAACTACAAACACCTAAAAATCTTAGACTTCAGAAGAAAAATACTTGGACAGTATTAATTCTTCCATTGTTAAATCTGCAACTAGACTCCCTGTCTGCAAAGACTTTGAGTTTCCAATTCCATTTTGCAAATCCCAATTTTTACATGGTAACCTAATCTCTCTTTAAAGCCTCAAAGGTATTTCATCTACTTTTCCTTATATTACCAGACAGTACATGGCCAAGTTATTTAGATACAAATAAGCCTTGAGAATATCATCAAATCCATTCTAATTTCATTCATGCCTTGGAGATAATAATTTAAAGAGCTAGTCACTGCTTGCAATTAAGCATGGAGAAAATAGATCCATCCCATAATTTATGTCTGCAAAGGCTGGGCTGGATTTGTAATTAATGTTTGCTCCTTTTAATGAAATACTCCAAAGGTCTGCACTTCTGTCATTCATGAAGGTAATTTTTCAATTGATTAGTAAAATAATACTTGAAAAGTAAATGCACCTGCTTCAGCACAGAAATGTCTTAGTCAAGTAGAGACAATGATTGGAGTGCTAAAAAAATGTCATTTCAATACAGTAGAGACTGGAGTTTTACCCCTCCAGAATTCAGAACTCCTACTAAAGAGAAAAAAAGAAAAGATAATTAAACCTCCAGCAACTTCTCAAGCATGCTTTCATCCAGTTTAATTCCTGGGTGGTTTTCAGCAGAACTAAATACTTTTAGGGACACAGGCCTGAATTGTGCATTTGTACAAGTGAAATATGTCTGGAAAGCACATATTACAACAAGACATACTTTTTGTATTTGTGTACCTTAATTTTTTGGGGGGAATGAACAAATCATTTCATACTGGGATTTTAATTTCAGATAAACACTCAAAATCTGACAACTCATTTAGATTATATTATTTCCTTTTCAGAATCAAACCTTTTCAAGCTTGTAAAATTGCAAGATTTGAGAGTTAGGGTCCTGCAGCTGCTGGTTTAAAATGATTTGTAATGTCTTTTCTGAAAAAAAAGCTGCTACTAAACCATCTCTGCCTGCTTTTAAGGAATTGATACAGAGTTTGTTTGAATTGATCACTCCTGGAAGGGTGTTTGATGACGTCTCCTGTTTTACTTTGACACAAAGGATTACTATTCCTGTACGACAGAGACCTCACATTCTGTAGTAGTGAACTTTCTGGGAATTGACCATAAGTCAGACAAGACAGAATGCAGACTAGAAGACACATTTTATGCTAAATTTCTTGACGGCCACAAACATGGTAGACCAAGAGGTGTTGAACCTCCTGTCATCTGGGACAAGGATTTTGCTTTCAGAGAAAGAAGCAAAAGAGTGAATAAATATGGTGAAAGCAGCCCTTGTCCAGTGCTTAGCCTAGTGGAGCAGAATAATCCAGACAACAGAGCGAGGGGATGTGTGCCATCTGATAACAAAGGTCAAGAGTCAGAGATTCCTCTGGCTAATATAATCTCTAGATAAAAAGATAGCTTTGCATCATGTTTAGCAGAGCAAATGGCAACAGATTCTCCCATCAGTTTTAAAAATTGAGCTCTGCTCATAAATTTATCTCAGACTATGGCTTTCACTTGGCTGAGTCTTTTGTGCTGCTGAAAAGAACTTGATTTAAAGGCTTGTTTCTTTCCTCAGCGTTTTCTCACTGATGTGCTTTAGGCAGCAATGTTTGGACCTTTGCTGACACTGGCTGGGGCAGCAGGCAGCTTTTGTGAATCACATCTAAGGTGCTCAGCTCTCTTAGTACACTAAGAGGGAGCCCGAGTTGGTCCAGATACGAGTTACACTCTGGGTGGACAACATCATTTAACACCTCACTATAGGATTACTTCCCAAACACAACCCTCTGAGAATGTCCACTTGGCATTTCCCTGTCCAGAGAGGAACACTCAGGAGGGCATAGTCCTTGCATAACTGTAGCAGAGAAGCCTTCAGGACTTAGATCTTCTGCCTTCAGGACTTAGATCTTCTCCCTTAGATCTTCTCATATTGTAGAAGAGGAAAGAGAAATGGTTGGAAGTGGGGTGTGAGTTAGAAGTACTGTTGGGCTAAACATAGAGGTGGACAACAGGAGTGATGGCAGATCCATATCTCATGTGGGTGTTGTTTTGACACTGTGTATGATTTAGCATCCCTATATTATCTTGCCTGTCAGAACATTTCACTTTAAAGATAAAAGTTTATGACTTTAAAGCTACGGTTTTAAGTGTTGGAAACATCTGAAGAATGCAGCTCTTATGCTCAAAGCATGAGCAAAGCAGCATTTAAGGACTTTTAAAAATCTGGACCTTGAACTTAGTATAACTCCTATTAAAGTCAATGAATGCTGAGTCAGACTTTAATACTTTTTGCACCCTAGAGACTCGAAAGGTGAAAATCCTGGCACTACTGATGTTTTGCCATTGACCTCACAGGGTCAGGATTTCACACTAAAAGCCATAAAATGACAGTGACATTTCGTCACTGCTATCTTGGATCAGATTCATAACAGTGACCCAGGAGAGAAAAATCTGCATAATCCATTACTACTGTGCATCTACCTAGCATTGTTTCACCACTTTCTACCTTGTTTAAAGAGAGGGAGTAATCTATAATTTTGAGCTGCCTTTACTCTAGCCAGAATGAAGAAGAATGGAAAAATCCTTATATTCATTTTTTAATCACTTTATTTAAACTCTCTAAGTAAATTCTTGATTATTTTAAATTAATATAATTTGAAAATTCCCTTTTGGAAATGAAGAGGAGTTTTGTTTTGGTTTGATTTTCTATACATATTCTAAAAAGGCTTTTTAGTAAAACTGGCAAATATATTTCAAACTTATAGCTGCTTGTGAGTGAAGTGCTTATGATTGATGATGAGAACTGTGAAGAGTTTATATATAATTCCTTAATGGTCCTTAATGAAATACTTAATTAAAGACCACCTGGAAAAACAATCTTGGTTAATAAAAAGAAATCAGGGGATGAACATATTTCTATAATGTAAGAGTGCATGCCATATGTGATAGATGCCACATATCATCAGCACTTAGATACAACAAACTGATAAAAATGCAAAACTGAAAACTATGATTTAAAGCTTATGCAGGAAATAATATTATATATAACATGAAAGCTGGTACCTTAGCAGATTATTGATGATGTAGAAAAATCTGAATCAAAACCTGTTGCCAGTTATAATGAAAAAAATCTGGAATAACTTGAATGGATTCAGTGAGTTCCTTGAACTCTGAAATAGATAAGCTTTCCCATTGACATTCTCTGAGTATTTCTCTAAAACTACAGAGACAAACCAAATGGAAATCATGTTTGCAGAAATAAAGAATCACTGAAAAATAAAAACATCTCATCTTGTTGAAGAAAAATTAATTTCACCAAAAAATAAGTAAATTCTAAGGCTTTGCCTCAGGTTTGTGGGATCAATGGTGTGGCAATTTCTCTGCAACTTCTAGATAAGGAAATACAAGGAAATTTGTCATCTCTGTCCTTTCTGCTAGTGCCGGATAAACTTTGTCATACATTGCAAGTTTTGCATATTTTTTTAACTTTGCAAATGGAATTACTTTATCCATTACATAATAATGAGTTATATCATTGACTCTGACTTCTGGTCATAAGCTGCATATTTTCGTTTTGTACTGCACATAACTGACAGTGAATAATATTGAAAACATATACACAATTTTTGTATCTGGGATCTCATGATAACTAGTTGGTAAGAAAACAAATTCATGGTTGTCGTGTGAAACCTATCTAGGACAAATTGTACAGCAAATTTCTCCCAGCTGCTGCTGCTTATACACTAGGCCAACTGGAGTCAATGTAATACTCTGGAATCAGGTGTGAAATCTTGGGAAGGAACTGTGAAAACATGAGCTTGGAAAAGCACCTACCCAGCAGTGAATGCAATCACAGTAGAGTTAAAGCGGTGCTATTAAATAATGAGCAGT